GAAAGAGGTAAATGTCACCTTAAAGACCACTTGTCTTCATTTTATTCATGAGGAACTAAGGCCCAAGGACTGGTTTACAGAGCTTTGGTTATGGAGACCAGCCATCTCTTCATTCCTTTTAGATAATCTCTGGATCCCACAAAATTTCATTTTATCTTTCTGGAGGTCTTATTAGATGAAGATGGTTTTCTCTTTTTCTTTAAAGCTTTGTTGCTGCTATAATTAGGGGTGTTCTTTGACCTCTGTGGCAGTGAATTGAAAGGTCAGCAAACAATGGCCTGCAAAGGCCTCCAGGTGGCATTCTTGACTTACAGCTGGAGACACAAACTCATTGCTCCCTAGGTGACTGACGCTGAGGTTCATCTGCTTCTTGCCTGTGTACTTGTGGCTCTGAGAGCCCTTCCTAGAGCTTACCCCCAACATAAGGTGACCAGATGTCCCGCTTTTGAACAATTTGTCCTGTGTCCCGATTTTTAGAAAGAATGCACGACAATCTAGGGAAGGGCAGGACAACGGGAAGGGAATATATGGTTTTCCGCTGCTGAAAAGGTTAATGTAACTCCATTTGGGAATGAGGAGGTTAACGTAACTTCATTTGGAAATGGAAAGGCTAATGTAAATTCCCTACTCCCCTCCTGGGCAAGGTCGCCCAGGTGGACCAGCGCCCTACTCCTTTGAGCCACAGGCGCTGCCCTATACATAATTGTTTTAATGTATTATATTTGTAAATTGTACTTATGTTGAAATTAAAAAATATTACAATACTGTTTTTGCGTTCTTGAAAATTTTTGTTGCTCCATATAGACCAAATTTTTAATCAAGAACACACCCCCTTCCCAACTCCACCCCTGAGCAATGGTGTCCCGCTTTACTAATGTTAAAATCTGGTCACCTTACCCCAACACTGAGGCTCTCCAATACCCAGAAGACCTTGCTGTTGCCTGCTAACACGTGAGGTATTATTGGGGCACCACCAGGCTGACACTCACCTTTGCATAAGCAGTTGTCCTAATAAACCACTGTTTGAGGTACTTCTGTTCCACCTTTGCTCCGGAACGCCATGAACAGCCATGTTCATCTACCTGCTCATTGGCCAGCACTGTTTGATCCACTGGGTCCCAGTTAACCACGGCCTGTTAAAATGCATGAAAAAAATGATACAATCTGGTGAGTACCTTTAATAGGACCATTTCAAGGTTTCTTAGATGTGACAGGGCTCATAGCTCTGCTCTGAGACTTGAGGGCATCTCCTTGGAGTGTTGCTCGGCAAGGAAACCACTAGCAAGCTGTAAAAGAAACACACGAGCGGCCATCTGGTTTCACCTTATCAGAACAGGCTTAGGAAGGAAGGAAGGCTCTAAGTGTGTGTCTAACTCAACTTTGGTATCTTCTTATATGAAAGGATAAATTTGCAGGATAGAAAATTTTAATAAATAAAAGGGAAAAGAAAAGATGGTGCCTACCTAAAATTTAGCAGATGGGAATCATTTCAGGAGAAACTAGGTTGGCTCTTTTACTCCTCACAACAACATTTTGGTGTTGTTATTCTAGCTTAATAATTTTTTATCAAATTTTTTATTCTAGCTTAATAATTTTCATAAATTTATTGTTTACACTGCACAGGATACGTAGCTTTCATAAAAAGTAGTTTTTTCCACAATGTTCTTTTGTGGTAAGTATATTATTATCCCCACATTGCAGAAAAGCAATTTGAGGAACAGAGAAATCAAACAACTTACCTAAGCCTGGCATTGCCCGAGGATGGACGAGCAAGCACACATCCCTCCCCAGTAAAACCCCGCTATCTTTGGGGGCCTAGAAGGTGCGCTGACAGTATATTCAAGATGGAATCCTCCTTTCTGTGACCAATGGCTTGTGTTCATGAGGCCCTGGATAGAGACGCTGGTGAGCAGTGAGGGAGAGATGATGCAGATGCTGGGAAGACTCAGAAGAGAGAGCTCAAACTTGGTGTGTCTTTATAGTACAGACCTCATGCCACATGGAACACAAGTCAAACAGGGTTGTTTTTTTGAGACAGAGCCTTAAGCTGTCACCCTGGGTAGAGTGCTATGGCATCATAGCTCACAACAATCTCTGACTTCTGGTCTTAAGCGATTCTCTTGCCTCAGCCTCCCAAGTGGCTGGGACTACAGGTGCCCCCTACAATGCCCTACTATTTTTTGGTTGTAGTTGCCATTGTTGTTTGGCAGCCCCGGGCTGGATTTGAACCCGCCAGCTCTGATGTATGTGGCTGGTGCCTTAGCTGCTTGAGCTACAGGCGCTGAGCCTGAATCAAACAGTTTTGTTATGGAATAATGTCTTATCAATAAGTATTAGAATGTGTCAGAGGTTTCCTAACATATCTTGGGAACACTAACTTGGGTGTTCTAAAAACAAAAACAAACAAACAAAAAAACCCAAATAATTTACCTAAGGTCACATAGTAAGTGACAGAGACAGAAAAGGATAGGAACTCAGGTCTCTAGAAATCAAGTTTTGATGTTTTTTGTTTTGAGGGGTTCTTTTTTGCAATTTTTAAATACTTCTATGTAAACTTCTGTTTAAATTAAAGTAACTTGAAAAAATATTAAGTGTTACAACTCGATGAGTTTTTTAAAAATTTTTTTAACAACTCGATGAATTTTTACATAGGTACATACTCATGTGACTATCACTCATATCAAGATGAAGAATATTCCTAGCATCTCTGAAAACTATTGTGCCTTTTACCAATGCCGCCGTCCCTGCCCAACAACGGCAACTACCATTCAGAACTCTCTCTCCACAGATTCATTTGGCTAACAGAACATGCAGCCTTAAGCATTATGAAAATTCTCTTCCAAGAGTTCTAGTTAGTTTCTATCTTCATTTAAAACAAATAGTTTTGCCATTTACATTTACCCTTTTATGACATTTAGGCACTACTTGGTACAAAGAAGGCAACGCATACAGACAGATGTGTTGGGGCACTAAAATACCCTGACTCAATACACACTGTTTTTTATTTCTTTTTTCTTTTTTTAAGAGATGGGGTCTGGCTTGGCACCTCTGGTTAAGGCACCAGCCACATACACCTGAGCTGGCGGGTTCGAATCCAGCCCAGGCCTGCCAAACAACAACAACAGCTGCAACCAAAAAATAGCCGGGCGTTGTGGCAGGCACCTGTAGTCCCAGTTACTTGGGAGGTAGAGGCAGGAGAATCGCTTGAGCCCAGAAACTGGAGGTTGCTGCGAGCTGTGATGCCACAGCACTCTACCCAGGGCGACAGCTTGAGGCTCTGTCTCAAAAAAAAAAAAAAAAAAAAAAAAGAGGAGATGGGGTCTTACTCTGTCCCCTGGGCTGGAGAGCAGTGGCACCATCATAGCTCACTGCAGCCTCTAATTTCTAGGCTCAAGTGATCTTCCTACCTCAGCCTCTAGAGTAATTCAGGTTACAAGTGGGCATCATCATGCCTAGCCAATTTTTTTTTTAAGAAGGATAAAAACTGTTAATTGTTGAAATACATTGGTAAATTGAGTGATTTACACTACAGTACTAAGTACACATGTCATTACCAAAGAAAGAATTTCCCAGATATCTCACTAACCATCAATCACAAGTCCTTGCAAACAGTGAAATAACTCAACACGCCATGATTATGCAAAGGTAGACTGAGGGACTCAGTGGCTATGAAGTATTTGTAATTATATAAGCATCTGACTAAAGAAAATAGAAATTTAATCAAAATGTGCACATGGCATGCAAATTTAAACAGTTTATTTTTAACTATTGCAATGAAATATATTGTTCCTGCTAAAGGAAACTCTCTTACATTTAAATAAAATTTGAACACCAAATGGCAAAAAGGGGAAAGAAATAGTGGTATGAATCAATTTACCGAATTTACAGCTAAAAATTAATATGAAGAAGAAATAGTGAAAGATAACAAATATGTTGTTTTAGGTAATTCATTTATAATGCCTTATTATCTTAAGTTATAAATCGAATAAGGATTTTGTTATTTTAAAACTATCAGAAAAATATCAATGAAAAGACTTGACCTCCACGAACAGTGTTGAATGGCCAGGAGTTAAAATGCTGCACTAGAGCACAGCAGCCCAGGCTGGGTGACAAGCCTTGACGACAGTTTGGTAACTGGTCGTTGGTAGGTGGATCACAGAAAGTTCCGTACCCCAGTGTCCTGTCTACTCAATCCTCTTCTATGACTACAGCATTCAACATCTACCCATGGCTTTAAGTATACACTTAATTTTGAGGGCCAGGAGAGGGAAGGTCAACTGTTCTGAATTTCCTAGGAAATGTCTGTGCACATGACAATGTCCCATGGGACTAAATTCCTTCCAAATTGATTCGTAAGCTTTTGGTCCCTTGATTATTGAGTTGTGATGTTATTTTCTTCTAATTTTTTCATACTGTCTTTGTTTGGTTGGACACCATATCAACAACTTCAGAGGGCAGTCCAACATATACTCCTCCATAATTTCTCCTCTTGTCGTCTTCTGTTATTGATTATTCTGTCGCATCTTTAGCTGATCCTGCAGGGCCTCGGTCTGCATCCACGCTGGTGGCAGTGGAGTTCCTGCAGCCCATCATGCTGCTGCCGGCCAGGGAAGCCCCACTCTGGAGCCCTGGGCTGCAGGTCCAGGGGACGGAGACCAAGCTGAGGGTAGCACGCCCTAGGCAGGAGGCCAGGGCATGTCAGGGTCAGGGCATGGCAGGCTGTGGGTGATGAGGTGGAAACCACCCTCTGGCTAATTTTAAAATTTATTTTGTAGACATAGACTCTTGTTATCTTGCCCACCCTAGTCTTAAACTCTTGGCTTCAAAAGTTCCCCCTGCCTTAGCCTCCTCCCAAAGTGCTGGGATTACAGGTATGAGCCACCAAGTATGGCTTGTTTTTTAAAACAAAAAAAAAATTTTTTTAAGAGACAGAGTCTCACTTTATTGCCCTCAGTAGAATGGCCATGCCAATAACTCTTTTAGTTATTTTGAAATATACAATACATTATTGTCACAGCTCACAGCAACCACCAACTCCTGGGCTTAGGCGATTCTCTTGCCTCAGCCTCCTGAGTAGCTACAACCACAGGCGCTCACCAGAATGCCCGGATATTTTTTTGTTGCTGTTTGGCCAGGGCTGGGTTCAAACTGGGTGGAGACCCTTGGTATCTAGGGCTAGTGCCCTACCCACTGAGCCACAGGCGCCACCCAAAATTTTAATGTGATTTTAATAAGAGAGTGTGCTAACTATTGTCCATTTACCTCTTTGCGCCCTATTCTATGCCCGCAAGGAAGTTGACCTCTGTAGCCTGTGTTATCTTGGACACTCACTTCTGACTGCATTTGACCCATGAGAGGCACCCTGGCTTCTTCTTGGCAAGGCCATGGGCTGGCAGTGGCACCACGCCTCTACTAAAGGCCACCACACCTGTTGGGAAGCCCTCATCTGCCATTACAGCTCCAGTAACTGCTCCCAAGATCGTCCTTTCAGCACAGGGGCAGCAAAGGCTTCCTTCTGCTGCCAGCACCAAGTGCTCCACCATCTCTTCTGAGTTTCCCTGAACTCTGCACATGGAGTCCCTTCACTACATTTGTTTCAGTGACTCATTTAGGATGTCCTCTCTATTTCCTGCTGGGACTCTGCTGATCCAGAGACATGTCTAAAAATTACCTAAAAAGTAGGGGTGGGGGAGATACATCAGCCTCTGTGAGTTGTGACTTTACAAGTAAAAGTAGTACATACACTGAAAAATTTAAGCTTGTGAAGTCCAGAGTCAGGGTGGAAAAGATGAATACCTTTTTCCTCTATAAAACCAGGTCCCCTGAAACCTTGAGCTCATAAAGATATAGTGATAAAATATTGAACCAAAGTACCTTAGACCTAAAAACCTTAGGTTAATAAATCAAAGGTGATTTACTTATCTATTATTACTGCCTATATTAGGGGGACTGGGGAAGAATATCACCTAATTATTTCTTTAAAAAATTAATATAATTTTAAATGGACAAATCATAATTGTATATACTTATGAAGTACAATGTGATGTTTCAACGTATGTTTCCAACATGGAATGATTAAATCATGCTAATCAACAGAACCATCACCTCACTTACTTAACATTTCTCATTGTGGTATATTTACTCTTTTAGTTATTTTGAAATATACAATACATTATTGACTATATTCACCCTGCTATGCAATAAGATCTCAAAACTTACTCCTCCTGTCTAGCTAAAACTTAGAACCCTTTGACCATCAATGCCCCATTCCTTCTCTCCCCCCAGCCCCAGCCTCTAGTAAACATAATTCTTCTCTCTCCTTGTATGAATTAAACTTTAAAATATTCCATATAGGCTCGGCGCCTGTGGCTCAAGCGGCTAAGGCGCTAGCCACATACACCTAAGGTGGCGGGTTCGAATCCCCAGCCCGGGCCCGCCAAGCAACAGTGATGGCTGCAACCAAAAAAAAAATGGCCAGGCGTTGTGGTGGGCGCCTGTGGTCCCAGCTACTTGGGAGGCTGAGGCAGGAGACTCGCTTGAACCCAGGAGTTGGAGGTTGCTGTGAGCGTGATGCCATGGCACTCTACCCAGGGGGACAGCTTGAGGCTCTGTCTCAAAAAAAAAAAAAATATTCCATATATAAGTGAAATCACATAATATTTGTCTTTCTATGCCTGGCTTATTTCATGTAGCATGATGTCTTCTGTTGGTAGATTCATCTGTGCTATCCTTAATAACAGAATTTTGCTCTTTTTTGAGGCTAAATGGTATTCCATTGTGTGTATCTAGTATACATTTTCTGTGTCCATTCATCCATCAATGAACACTTAAGTTC